ACTACACCCCTAGTGGATGTAGTTATCCACCGTAATCCATAGGATTATCCTTAAGGCCAGAAACAAATGTATTTCTAGCTTTCAACTCCATTTATTGTCCAAACATAAAGATGGATAGACAAGCACCTACATAATAGTGTTATATGGATGTTTTTGGTGGTTCTGGGTCTAGCCACTACACCACTAACAGAGGTTTTGGGAGACCATGAGAGGCCTTTGAGCTACTACTTTGAATAGTTTATATATAACAAGTGCAAATATGAGAGTATGTYAAGAATGAGAGTATTCAGCTGCGTACTCCAAACCGCTTGTCTTGGATCTACTGCCCAGGGTTATAGTGCACCAAAGCATCTAGAGCCAAGGGAGAACTCAAGTCAAATGAAGGCTGATATGTTTAAGCTTGTCTCTGTTCTTAATGTTGTAAATAAAATATCTCAGGCTGTATCAGTAACTGTGGTTATATCTCTCTTTGTATTTTAGCTTTTTTTTTTTTTTTTTTTTCCTTAGGAAACAGAAGAAATTAAATTACTATTTATATTAAGTAATTTCTTATTCTTGTATTTGGGGAACATTCAGGGAATATTTCAAATGAAAAAAGGTAGCTTGCATGTGTCAGTTAATGTGACATTCTGACATTCTTTGAAAAGTAAGAGGAAAAGCTCCTGGTAGTGGCAGTAGGTATAAAGACAGAACAGATATTCAAGCTTTGGTGAACTTTATGTAGAGGTAGCTACAATATGTAGCACTRTGGTTGAATTCAGCCACTGCTTGCCTTTTGTACACCATTTTTTCCAGCAGAATGAGATGTCCTCATGCCCTGCATTCAGCATTCACAGCAGGGCTGTAGCTGTGCTGGCTGTTATATGAGCCTGACAACGTAGGGATTGTTGTTGCTTAACTGCAATCATCTGCAGCTAATGAAACTCTTACTCTAGCCTTTCTCTTTTAAAACTGTGGTTTTCATTAAAACTGATTTTTAAGACTCATGAATAGTTTTGGCAATGTTTTCTRTAAATGTTTTTAGCAGAAGAATGAGCATATTGTATTTTTAAGACAGGACTGGAAACCAAATGATCTGAAATCTCACTCCATCTTGACTTTGTAGATGTGTCTTGGTAAATTATATCTTTATGCTATCTTTTTTTCCTTAACTGTGAAACAGAGATCTAGACTATTATCAGGTTTAGCTCTCTGAATTCTATGAAATACTTCTGAATGTGTTATAGAAAAGTATCTCTGCATTAATATTTTGCAGTTTCATGAAGTGATAACAGCAACCTGCAAACACAGATTACCACCTTCTCATATTGCAGAGATCCTGTGCTTTATAACTCACAGTGCAGCCATTTAATCCTTACCCCTCTAGACAGAATGGCAACTTTAAATGTGGAAGCTGCACAGTCGGTGCTTCTAAGACTATAATCAATCTTCAGTTTTTAACTTCTGAATTTAAAAGTGATCTGTAAACTTTCTGGAAATCCAATGCTTTTACTTTTTTTCTGTACAGCTGCTGTTTTCTATCTGACACTTGAGTAATAATAACAGCGATGATGATAATAATAATAATAAACTGATGTCACCTTAGCTACCCTAATAATTGATGAAAATATCTGTTATTGAATATCCTTACTGCTCATGAAAATTGAACTAATAATAATCTGTCAAATATTTCAGCACTGATTTGAAATAAGTGTCCATCAAGTGTAAAGGAACCTAGTAGCTGTAAATAGTCTACTTTTTTCAGCTGTGTGGTGGATGTTCCTGAAATCTGGGTATATCCTAAAGCAGTAT